TACCAATTCTAGTCAACTCTAGATCAAGTCCAGAAGAAAAATACAAGATATTTCGATCTCTCTACAGCTTTATGAATTGGATTTCAGAATTAAAAGCAATTCTGTTTAGTACCCTAAAATAATCTGTAAACTAAATTGGTCCCTGAAATGTGATCAGTGAATACTGTGCAGTATTATGTTACTAGCAGAGAAAGAGGACAGCACTGGAAGGTGTAACAGCCTGCTAACACATACAGCTTTAAAAACATGAGAGGCAGGAAAAATTATCTTCCCAGACATTCCACCAACAATTAGAACTGTGCACTAAGAACACTAATGCTACACAGAGCCAAGAAAACTCAGCATCTGATTTTCTAAATCCATTCATTGTTATGTTCACTTCCATAAACATGTTATTAATTTATAACTTATTAACTTGAGTGTTGTATGAGTCTCCAGTTACCAGTGATCCTGTATTTCAGTGGAAATACACAAAAAACAAGGTCAAATAAGGAGATGAACTAAAATCACGAGCAGAATTCTTCCTGAACAAGTGACCCCAAGGTTTGAAGCTTTTTTAGACACATCTATATTAGAGTTCCCTTCATGGATAAAAATCCCATTTCTACAGAAATACCAGGTTAAAGTTAAACAGTTATTACATCTTAAACTGTTATTTGTCATACTTTGCTATAGAACACATGATCCCCATTATTGTTAAACTTATTAACTGGTATTCCCAGCTGCTTTAAGTTCAAAGCATTCAAGCATATAAAGCATGATGCATTGTCTTTTTACAGATTATTAAACAAAAAATGTTTTAAGAGCCCTGGAAAAAAAATGGAAACTCAATTTATATTCAGGTTTTGACTTAGAAAAATTAAAATCTAAATCACTAGTGCTAAAATTTGGAACATTAAAATAACTGCAATATGCTTAAACATTTCACTCAGTTGTGTTCAGTTTCTGTTTGAGACTCTTCCAAAGAAAACAACCATAGGTTTTACTGAACCAACCATATGATAGAAACAGGGACAGATGGAGAAGAGACTGTGGCTGTGCACTCACAGATGGAAGAGGTTGTAGACAATATAAGAAAGATATTTTACACCTCTCTGTATTTTCAGTAAACAGTGAAATAAGATACCAAAAGGCTATCACTGCTGGTGGTAGAAGTGACAGCTCCTATTTGCAAAACCATGCTAAAATCTATATTTGAAACAATTCACATTAAAGCAGTTTTAATTTCTGAAACACCCCCATTCCTGATTGCCAATAGATGAGTTTTAATAACTACAAGGAACAGTGGCTTAATCTAAACCAATACCAGATGAATTAGGGGCAGATTCCCAGAAATTTTCTGATTTCTCTCAAAGGCAGGCATGTCAACAGTACTGGCCAAAAAGTTAGACATTCTCAAGAAGTTACACAAACAAAGAATTATTTCTTTAAATTAAGAGATCATGTGATTCCACAGGAGATGAATCAAAATGGTAAATTAGCTTATCTCAGCTACACAACAAAACCAAATATTTGCATTGCACCAGATGTATATTCTAATGTAATATTTTTTCTATGTCATTTTCCTAACCATACCCAAGATATTACTAGGAAAGGGTATGAAGAGGTTATGTCAGAAAACATAATGGAGAAAAAACTGAAAAAAGTCAATGTGGCTCAAATTATGTTTACAGTAATGATTCTTTCTAGAAAAAAAATTGCAATTATTAATTTATTTCTTCATAAGAGAAAGAGAACATTCATAAGAATATGAACACTTAATAGTCTGAATACAGTGAAGCATTAACCCAGAAATTTTGATGAGCATTCATTTTAGGCACCTCAGCAATCTTTAGATTATGTAGTATCCTTGTTTTAAGGAAAAAATAGCTATTTGCCTTCCTAAATAAAAATACAAAAATTCTGCAACTTTGGACTAAGATTCACTGAGGTTAATTAAACAAAGAATTGTAATTTATACAGATACATTTAATTTTAAATTAAAACAATGCTACTCAGGTTAATGACATAAATATATGACACAAATCAATAGTACAAATTCTGTGGTTCTCTTCATTTTTTTCTCTAGGAGAACAGAACCTACTACCTGCTTGTACCTTTATCACAGAACAGTACCTGCTGCAATAGCATCAGCTTTTATGCTTCACCTTCCTTTAGAAGGGAATTGTTATTTGCTGCAGTCTCTTGGCCAGCTTTTACCTTTACCCAGCTGCATTATTTAGTATTTACTCTAATCCCTACCTCTTGTCCTTGATTGCATTGTCCTTTATCCATCAGGGATGAATGTCAGGTTTTAAATATTTACAGATGTTTACACCAAGTGTCCAACTCTACTCAACGCCCACAGAAAAGTGAATCCGATCAACTCTGAAGCACAATGGATTACAGGAGGGATCTCATACTGAGCAAAACTCTGTTGACTATAATGCAAGAAAAAAATTTTAGCATCTCAGGTGGCTTCCAGTGGTGCTGCTGAGAGCCACACATGATAGATATTTGCTACACGAGAAGCAAAAAGGAGCCTAAAGATTGTTCTTTCTCACAATTGTCAATCACCCTTCTCCTTCCTCATAAAATCTGTCCGCCATCCATAGGTACCTACTCCTACTCCTGTGAAATATGTTATTTTCATAACATTCCTCATGAATACAAGTTCTTCTGTGGAAGAGTATCTCTGGGTGGCAAAGTGCCCGTGGTGTATCATGATTTCAGTTTGATATCAGATTTGATGAATTTGATATCAGATTTTAGCTCCAACTTTGGCCTACATGACCAAGCAGTGAGCTCCGACAGCAGATTTGCAGAGCAAACCCACCACCCACAAACACACTTCCTAGGATTTTACTTTTAAGTTGTGCTGGTTTTGACTGGAATGTTGTTAACTTCCTTCACAGTGGCTGGTGTGGGGCTGTGCTTTGGATCTGTGCTGAGCACAGGGCTGGTAACACCGAGATGTTTTTGTTATTGCTCAGCAGGGCTCCCTCGGAGCCAAGGCTCTTCCTGCTTTTCCCAGGGCCACGCTGGGAGGGCTGAGGGGCTCAGGAGGCTGTGAGGAGACACAGCCAGGCCAGGACACCCCCTGAGCACAGGGGTGTTCCAGACCAGCTGCCATCACGCCCAGTGTATGGAGTGGGGGAAGAAGGAAGGAAGGAGAGAAGGGTTGGACATTTGGGGCAATGCCACTTGTCTTCCCAAGTCACCACTGCTCGTGACAGGGCACTGCCGTCTTTGGGCGGGCTGAACACTTGCCTGCCCCTGAAAAGCAGTGACTTAATTCCCTGTTTTGCTTTATTTGTGTGCAGAGCTTTGCCACTCCTTACTAAACTTTTCCATTCCCATTCCTTTATCTGAACCCATGAACTTCCTAACATTCACTCTACAGTCCTCTCTCCCAGTCCCCTGGTGGGGAGTGTGATCAGCTCTCTGGGGCTTAGCTGCTGCCTGGGGTTAAGCCACAACAGTAGTTTAGTCCCATGGAACATCACACAAAATTATGAAAGTTTCATGTTCCATTTCATGATGTACAGCAAAGAATTGCAGTTTGGAAAGATCAGGAGATTAATTTCAAAAGTATAACCCATCCAAATTAAAACTCTACCATAGGCATACCCTTTGAATTCTTATTCCAGAAAATCTAGGGTTCCCATTCTTTACACTCTTAATATTTGCTTCCTGTAGAACTTGCATAATTAATAAAATTTCAGATTGCCTTTCCTCTTCTTAAAATTTCCTGGCTAGCCAGAGGTGCTCAAGATCTGCTATGATAAATAAAGTGGATTATTTATTTCAGTTATTTCAGACATGTTTCTTAAATCTCATTTGCTTTGCTTTATGGAACGAAATACAAATAAAAGCCACTCTGCATATTTTAGTGCAATTGAGTAGTGGCAGTTAATTTTTGGTTCATGTGTTCAGGTCCTTAAAGTTCTCCAAAATTGCCCAGCTTTTCAGGAGTTGAAATTGCAATCTGATATCATGTAATTTTAATTTATTTATGCTGCAGAGTTATACAGAATCACATTCAGTCAAGGTTAGAAATAAAATAAACATTAAACAAATAACTGCAGTGACCCCACCACTCTGACTACTGCTATAATATCAAGGGGGTTTGCTAAATGAGATTAGTAACTACCCTATCCCTATCAGTAATACAGCAGATCCATCTTTTTGGAAAGATCAATATAACAAACTGAAAAACATGCCACTGAGAGGGGGAGGTGCAGAACATGGAGAGACTTATTTCTCATTACATATTGAACAACCTATAACATAGAAAGCAGTATGAACAGCTGGATAAGTGTGCCTTTGTTTTGTCCTTTAAGTCTAGCCTCAAATAAAGTTGACTCACTTACAAACCTCCTTTCAGTATCATTTGTTCCAGAGTTGTCTCCTCTGCCAGGCACTCTCACTACAATAATCTCTTTTGATCAATTAGTGTAGCAGGTTTTTCCAACAATTGCAAACTATGTCCAAGCAATGCAAATTAATTTTTTTTATTTCTTATTCAAAAGACATAACCCCAGGAGGCAAATACTCACTGCTTTGATCACCAATAGAAATAGCAAGAATTAAGCTTTTCATTTGTCCTTAATAAAAATATTTGTCTTAGAAATCTTTAAAAATCAACATTTATTTTAAAATAACACAGAATCCTATTCTTTGATTTATATTATGAAAGCAGTAACTAATTTTTGGAAACAATAAAGTGTAACATACAATTTGGATCATTAAAAGTAGCTAATAAAAATTCACAAATATTGATGAACCTTGTGAAATACTGAACCTTGATCAATTACTCTGCTGAAACCTACACACAGTAATTCTTAAAGCTAAACAGGTCATTTTGCCAATAAGTAGTGTTGATGTCTGTATGCTTTATAGAGACTCCACAGCTTTAAAACTTTCTGTACTCACATTTTCAGCAACAGAATTTGACTTCTTAGTCCTAGACGTCATGAACTATAATTACTCAGCAGCTAATATTATGGAAAATTATATGTCATTTAGTAAAGCTTCACATCAGAGAAGGAACCAGTTCTGAAAATACAAGATAAATGTAATAAACATAATATTAAAATGCATTAGCAATTAGCAGATGAAAGCAATAGACCATTCAAGATTAGAGGTACTCCAAGTTCTCCAGCTGAAGTGATGGAGCTTAAATGCAGGTTATAAAGGCTAAAAATAAAACCATCCCAACTGACATTTTACCTTATACGCTTGTTTGTATTACTGTGGAATAATCAAATACCAGTCTCTGAGCAGTCATGTTTCTATGTGACAAGTAAAGATCTTACTCCCATCTTCAATTTATTCCCCTTGTATAAAACAGCAGCTGTCTCCCAAGACTGAACTCAGAGCAGAAGCATTTGCAAGTACTTGGAAGCTAAACTAATATTACATATACCTAATTGTTTAAGGGAACCAAATGTATTCCTCATGTTGCTACATGTCAAATGGATCAATTACCTCACTTTACATGCCTTGCGAAACTGAAAACTGACCTTGCATTCTTCCAGGTCACATATCTATTTATTTATGTCATATAATGTTCAGCACTTTGAATGATTTATAGGCAACAAGAGGGAAGCTGCATTTTGTTTTGCCAGACTAAAGGGGCTCAGAAAGCAGCAGTTCCTAAGCATTTTCCCATCCCTTTTATTGATGCACAGTAAATGAACTTCATCAAGACTTTAATGTAAAACTTCCAAATTAAACCAATTACTGAGTTCTAAACACTTTGAGTTCCCAAATTGAAAAGTCAAGACAAAATGTCTTCTAAATATTAGCTTTATGGGCCACATATTGTTGGCAGAAAAACTATTTATCATGGTACCATTCCCTCCTAGTGTGAGGTGATTAACTGCAGATCAAAGGTATTAACTGTGCATCAGGAGTTAGCTACAATATTCATCTTATAATGCCACTCTGTTGATAGACCAACTTTTCCCATTACACTAAAAATTCCAATACTGCAATTAATGAACCTAGGTAATGTTTAAAGTAAATAAGCCCTTTTACAATAATAGGAGGGAAAGTATTTACATGTGGATGAGGTACAATAAAGCAACCTGTTCATAGGCTTTTGTGCAATTCCTCCATGCAATTACTTCAGCCTGAGAATTACAATGTGAAACCCCCAAATTAAATACAATTAGTTCCATGGATTAACTTCACACCAAAGACACTTTAATACTCCCAGAAGACTACAATCCCCTCTCTTACTAGTGTTCACATATTCTTATAAATCCTTTGAACTAGATCATTCTGTCTTCCTCTCCCGTGCTATGTACATTTATTCCTGGCACTAGAATCTCTCTATTTCTCTTTGAATTCTGGGACTCATCTGAGTAGTGTTGTGGCTGTAAACCAGTTACTGTTGGGTGCATGTAGGGAAGGACAATGAGTAAATCAGACACTCTATGGATGTAAGGAGCTCAGCCCCTGCTAAGATACCCATATCCCATCCACAGAGGAGAACTCCAAGGGTTAACCTTAAGTAGTCAAGTCCCCTAGCTCATCAATGCATAATCCCCTCACCAGTATGGGCCCACAAAGAGAGGGATATTATAAAGCCACTACCATATGCTTCTGATTCAGGATATAAAGCACTTCAGGGCATGTCTGAAAGCAGATGGACCTCTACAGAGATCATCTAACTCCATGGCACCCAGGGACACTCCAAGGATGGCACTGTACCACAAGACTCTACCTCCTTGAAAATGTATGGAGCAAAAGAAGAGATCTGACAAAGTGCTCACCAGGGCAGATCAGGCTACAATCAAATAAAATTCCATCATACAAGTAGGAATTGGTCACTTATATATGTGATAAATGCTCAGATGGATTTCAGATCTGGGGCTATAACAGCTAATTTCATTAAACCATAAGATTACTATGCAATGGCCATCAAAAAAGACTCAGTTGAATCTAGGCAGTGTTAAGAAAGAAACAAAGACCAAAATATCATTATGCATTTCATGGCAAAACTTCTTAAACACCATCAATTTTGGGTCTCCCTGCCCTCAAAAAGAATAGAACAATAGAAAGTACAGAGCAGGTTGATAAAAATGAGAAAAGATATAAAATAGTTTTGTATTAGACTCGAAGGCTTCTCTGCCAAGATTAAGAAAGAATTTTGGTAGAAGTCTATAAAAATCAAGGGTATCATGGGGAAAAAAAAGCATATTAAATGAAAGGCAGATGACAGGTTCCAAAAAAAAATAATGTGGTCCTTCCCAATATTTAGGAATTACACTTAGGATTAAAAAATCAGTGGATGCTTTCTTCATTCATAAGAATTCCTTTTTGTTCAACATCTTGAGTAAATCTCAGAGAAAACCAAAGTAAAGCATGAGTGAGTTCAACAGGGAATCATAAATCAGTAACATGAGGAGTCCTTTAAAAATAGGTCAGGATACATTGCAATATTAATCCTTCTCTAAGTACAGGTTGCTTCATCTACATCCTGTTTTCTTATATTGTAAATGCTTTCAAGCATCATATTAGTGTCAAAGCAGCTCAAAGAGCACAGAGCTCTCAATCAGTACTGGAAGGTTTTCTCATTTTCCTAAACAATGGGGAAAGAGATGTGCATACACACTACATCAGGAGCTACCGATGAAGCAGAATAAATGGGTCACACAGTGTTTTTAAAAGTCTGTTACTGTGAAAATACATGCCCACTAATGGGATGTAAAACCAGGTTCTCAGTAAGTAGGTCATGCAGCATTTTTATAGACTATTAGAACATACACATGCATACTAATGGAATACAAAACTAGATTCTGTAAAAGTAAGAAGATTAGAGTGACCAAAAAAATCCTGTGACATGGATGGGTCTGAGGAGGTTGCTCTATTAGACAGCTGTATATATTTGTCAGGGATAATCTGTTTCCTGAAATATTTCTGTCTCTTTTCTTACAGTTGTTTGGAACAGCCTCTAGGGGAATTGTGCTTCTCTGTTAGCTCAGAGCAATAAAAATATAGCTCACTTCTAAAACTGGATGTTAAAAAGTAATTCTGCCTCTAGAGAGCACTACCATAAGCAGTCCAAAGTTTGAGGAAAGGAAGCTAGAAGATGACAAAAAAAAACAAGCATAGATATGTTTAAAGCTATCATTCATTCTCCTATAATTTTGTTGACAGACTAAGCTTACGTAAAAAAAAAAAAAAAAAAAACACATTGATCTGGCATAATAAATAATTATAATGAAACTACAGCAGCATAATATAAAGGATGCAAAGCAACGTGACTTAAATATAAATACCTAGCTTCTTTTATTTAGGAATACAAAATAGTTATACTTAATGCTCATGTGAGACCTACCAGACAAGTTCATCATATCCTCTCCTAAGATTGATTTGTCACAACAAAATCAAGATAGTTAAAGCAAAATATTTCTGACAAGTGAAACTACAACATCAATTTAAGCAGCACAATATACATCTCAAAAGTGAAAATGCATTGATCTGACTAGCTACAATTTTATGTCCCAGATAAAGTCTGCACTGGGCTTTAACTACTCCAGAAGCCAAACATATTCACAGTTTAAGTGTGGATTCAGCTGCTGAGCATCTTGGCCTTGCAGAAGGAAATAATTATTTGTGAAAGTAGGCTGAAAGAAAGCAAGAATCCATACAGAATGGGGGGCTTGCTGAGGCCCCCCAGCACTCCCTAGGCTGAGAAGCAGGAACTCCTTTAAGAATGACACCACATTACAGGCTGTAACTCAGGTGATGCTAATAGCAGCACATCTGTATCTTGCCAGACTCCTGGCAGCCCCACGAGCGACTGGACTCGTGCCTCTTGCAAATCTCTGCAGAGCCCCGCGGGTGCCTGCCCCACGCCACGGACACACCCGGGCAGCGCTTCTCATACAGTCAGAGCTGAATGCAAATGCATTCTTTGGAGTTGCCACTTACAAAATCAAACAAGCAGCGAGATTTCCCATCATTGTTGTTCTGGGGTTTGTTGTTTTTCTGGATTACTCTCTCATGCCGACACTCTTAGATTGCCACTAAGCAAACAGCACAGCCAGTGCAATCAGAACCTAATGGAAGAATTAGAATTGCCATTCCAGTTACAGAGTGATGTCAATAAGGAGAACCATCTTAGAAGCAGCAGGTGTAGAAGATAATTCACAGTTTTCAATCCCAGAAGCCACTGCAGATTTCCAGGGGGAAAAAATAACTTTTTAAAAATTAAAGATCAGTTAAAAGCTATGGGATGATAATTTGAATCACAAGTACAGAAGGCTGATTTTGTACCAACAGCTCATAACCTGCATTCATTCAGCATCCTTTCACTTCTTCCCTTGGCTGATGAAAACTAGAGCTAGGATGCCACACAAAGCTGACATTAACCCAGCACAAACTGTACTAAAGAAATCCCATTAAGACCCTCACAGAAAGAATTCAGATGAGATATATTGAGAGGCTAGAATCTAAGTTATACATCTTTTAGGGAAGGTAGAAAGTGCTGATAGATCTAATTTTTTTTTTTTAATGCTTAATGTTTACTGATAAATGTAGCCTTAGACTGAGAAGTGGCAGCTTTAGTTTTTCATTGAAATTTAAAGAATAGCACACTCTCTGAAATTACAGTTTTTACATTTTAAAAAATTACATTTTTACAGTTAGCTGTTTCAGGTTACAAAATTACCTCATCTTTTTTTAGGTTATAATGCCACATTTTCAAATATCTGCAAGAAATTTCAAGATAATTGTTGATTCAATGATCAGGTACAAAAACAAATTTAATAACAGAGTAATATTTTGTAAATGCTTGTCCCAGATTAATAGTTAAATATTATAATTAAATGAAGATTTATTATTATTTTTGCCTAATTTATTTCTAGATCAAAACTTAGACTAAAAAAGTTACTCTAATGAGTTTGAGAAGACTTCTGTCCCTGCTATCCCCCAGTTCACAAGGGCTGATGGTATTTTATGTCACAAACTGGGACACAAGCTGGAAAATGTAGCTCTCTAAACATATAATTCCATCAGTAAACTACTGAACTCAAACAATTCTT